GAGAGGTTCAGAGACTCCTTTCTTCTGATTGGCTCACTGTTGTTACTAGAGCTCCAGAGAAAAGCTTGAGAGAGGAGATGTAAAAGTACAGTGAGATGGTTTTTGGTTCTTAAAACCACAAATATATCTTCTTATGGATCAACACTTCTAATAAAACCACAAGAGAAGTGGAAAATATCCTTAAATACCTTTAAGACAAGCCGTCAGGACTTCCTTAACTTTGTGATGTCACTATGAAACAGTCTTCACCCTCAGCATGCCCCACCTGGACCCACCATCCAACCCTGCAGGATTTGGTTTCACTGAAATCTGCTGTATTTTTATTTGATCTCTGTTAAAGACTCTTATAATACAGTATGTGAAGAGATTTACAGAGCAGATGTTTTTTTTCAATGAGATTTTAGGATCCAAATAATAAAAGAAATGGCATGGCGCTGACCCTGGCTGCTTGTGATGACAGTTACTTCTGCTTAATCAGTGTCACACCCTGTGACTTCAGACAGTGGGAGACGTGCAGCAGCTTCATATTATGAAGGAGTCTGAGATAGAGATGGCGCCCTGAAGAAGACCTGTGTCCACCAACATCCTTCCTCACACAATCACATGGTGTCTGTTTGACAAACAAAACAAGAACACTTTTTCCTGCTGCTGACTCCCTCACAAATAATACAGGTCTCTCTAGGCTTTTTTCCAACAGGTCAATATTGATTTTTCATTCCCATGTGAGCGACGCTAAATAATCTTTTCCACGACAATTTCTGACGACGCTGAGACATCCGTCAGGAGCCTGGATGGGACTGGAGATAAAACTGGAGAGCCAAAGAAATCCATCAGGACTTCTTTTTAACATCAAGAGGTCTCATCCTGCTGAAAATGGAATAGTCTCTTTTAGAAGAGCCACGAAACACAGCTGCTTGTGCCTCTTCTCTCCTAAAGTCATAAACATGGACTCATTCCAGAAATTATTAAAAAGAACCATTACATCCCAGTTTAGGGTGAATCAAAGCCACCAGCTTATTTCCCCATGGCCCCCGCCAGGCTCTCCATAAATTACCGCTCCTCCTGCAGCGCTGCAAGCCTTCCTCTGTTTGTACAAAGTGTTTTCTCAACAAAAGGAAACAAAGACAGGAAGTAGAACTGTTTCCTTTTTTCACACTGAAGAATCCATAAGCACATTAGGAACTATATCTGGTTTGTATTGATTGCAGCTGCACTTAAGCTTGAATTTACTGATTGCTTCCCTGACCCTGTGAAGAGAGAACAGGCTTCTGGCTGAACTTCTCTCAGTCACAATTAAAATGACTTGGTAAATGTGTTGTGTGGTATTTATCACCCAGCGTCCTCTTCCTTTTGTGCCATTGTCCACTGTTCATCTCTCCAGGCAGTCAGTGTGTGTACTGAGGCGTTTGTAACAAGCCTGGACAAAGAACCACTAAGCCAATTTCCATGTGTCAACAGGCTGTGGAATTCCTCCGGGTTGTCTCCATAAACAAAAGGACACACTGATGTCATAATAATAATAATAATTTAGATTTTTCAAGGTACCCAAGGCCGCTTTACAGATTAAGAAGACAAAACGTAAATAAATAAAACAAATAGATGAAAACAAGACGAGACAGAATAAGGATGGCAATGACTGGAGGAGATTGGAGGAGAAGTGAGCTAGAGGCCAGAGGCCTTCGTGAACAGGTGGGTTTTCAGCAGTTTTTTGTAAATGTCCAGAGATGAGGTTGTGTGGATCTCTGCCGGGGGAGAGTACCAGAGGGTGGGGGCTGCCACATTGAATGCTCTGTCACCAAAAGATCGCAGTGCTGTGAGGGGTGGAGAGCAGACACGTGTCTGAGGACAGTAGGTTCTGGGACGGGGTGTAGGGGTGGAGGAGGTCAGACAGGTATTGGGGGGTCCAGACCATGGAGGGATTTGTAGGTGAGGGAGAGGAAGTTGGATGAGGGTGGGGGTGATGTGCTGCCAGGGCTTGGTGTGGGTGAGAATCCTGGCATCTGAGTTTCTCGACATACTGGAGCCTGTCCAGGGTTTTGCTGGGAACCCCAAACAGGACTCCATTGCAGTAACGGGTGGTGAAGAAGGCGTCAGAGAGTGATGGCCGGAGTCAAGAGATGTTTTTGAGGTGGAAGAAAGCAGTCTCATCTTCAGCTGTGACCTCATCACTACGTTCAAATCACTTCTCAGAGACAAAGCTGGTTCATTTTGAAGATATTTCCACAGTCCTTGAAGACTTTTTGTCCATCAGAGCGGAAACAGCAAAAACTGGTATTTGCTGCAACGCAACATCACCCGGCGAGGTGCTGCTCCAGGGCAGCTTTCAGTCTGAATCGAACACACTGACCATACCAACAGAGGGAAGAAGCTCAGTGCCAGAACTGAAGGTAAAATCAAAACTCATCCGGTGCTAAAGAGCTTTTAATCAGATGTGAGGTAAAGGGGGAGTGGTCTGCTGTGTACAGAGCTAACACTGATGATCTGAGTCAGTCACAGTGTCTGCAGGTGAAAGGTTGCTGTGATCACCTGTATGAGCTCAGACACTGTCTCTCAGCTCAGTGCTTCATCAAGCTCAGGTTACACATTCATTAGACAATGTGACAACATCTCGTGTCGTTAACAGTTAGCACTCTCAGCTAACAGGAAGTCCTGCTTTCTCATCGTCATAAAGAGCATGCTCCAACATGTTTGAACCGTTTCACTGTCCACTCCTCCACCTGGGATAAAAAACTCTACTTGACAGACGGAGCAGATAATTGACTGCAAGCTCCCATTAACACCTGCAGCTAATTACTCAGCATCCGTCACATCTCATTTCCTCCTGTTCTTCGTTTAGAACAGAGGTTCCCAAGCTGGAACCGTCGATGCTCGAAGTTGTGCAGGTTTTCAAACAGGACAAACAAACTTTCAACAACAAATGTGTGAGATCCAGATCTCAGACTCAACCTTCACCCTGTCACTTTTTCACGCTGTCACTCTATCACTCCTTCACTCTTTCACTCTTATACCCTGTCATTCTTTTACTCTGTCACTCTGTCACTCTTACACCCTGTCACTCCTTTACTATGTCACTCTGTCACTCTTACACCCTGTCACTCCTTTACTATGTCACTCTGTCACTCTTACACCCTGTCACTCCTTCACTATGTCACTCTGTCACTCTGTCACTCTTACACCCTGTCACTCCTTTACTATGTCACTCTGTCACTCTTACACCCTGTCACTCCTTCACTATGTCACTCTGTCACTCTTACACCCTGTCACTCCTTTACTCTGTCACTCTTTCACTCTGTCAGTCCTTCACTCTGTCACTCTTTCACTCTTATACCCTGTCACTCCTTCACTATGTCACTCTGTCACCCCTTCACTCTTTCATTCTGTCACTCTTTCACCCTCTCACCCTGTCACTCTTTCACTCTGTCAGTCCTTCACTCTTTCACCCTCTCACCCTGTCACTCCTTTACTCTGTCACTCTTTCACTCTGTCACCCCTTCACTCTTTCACTCTTATACCCTGTCACTCCTTCACTATGTCACTCTGTCACCCCTTCACTATGTTACTCTGTCACCCCTTCACTCTTTCACTCTTATACCCTGTCACTCCTTTAGTCTGTCACTCTGTCACCCCTTCACTCTGTCACTCTTTCACCCTCTCACCCTGTCACTCTTTCACTCTGTCAGTCCTTCACTCTTTCACCCTCTCACCCTGTCACTCTTTCACTCTGTCAGTCCTTCACTCTTTCACCCTCTCACCCTGTCACTCTGTCACTCTTTCACTCTCAGTCCTTCACTCTGTCACTCTTTCACCCTCTCACTCTGTCACCCTCTCACTCTTTCGCCCTGTGAACTGTGTCTGCCCCCTCATGGACAGGAAGACCCCTCAACATTAAAGTGTGCTGCTGTTCTGCTACATTTCAAACATTTGTCAACATATGGAAGTAAAGAAGAAAGAAGCACAACACAATCCTCTGAGGGTGGAGACAGTGTCTTACTTCAAATGACACCTGAACAGATTCCCTGCCTCTCAGGGGCACCGTGTCCAGGATTATGCAAATGAGCTCTCACTGATTTCCCTGTAAAATTGAGTCTGTGACACAATGACCAGCAGCGAGTCTACATCCAACCTTCCCTCCATTTTACCTGATTACAGTGACTGTGTGTGGCTTTGCTTAGAAGAGCAAACCCTGACAGGACCTCACCAACTGTTTAGCAGCTGTTTGCACACTAACTCCAAGTTGTGTCTGTGGTAAATATTCTTCTCACATACTGTGGTGACATGGGGTTGTAGTTGTGTGAGTTCAGCTGAATCCATCATTTATGTAGGTTTATAGTTTTATCAAAATTCTTCAAACCTTACAAACTGAGTTGTAATGTGGGGTTTTCACAAATCACAAATTCACAAATCAATTACTTTGATGATAAATCATAATCATAATGTTCCTTTACAGCTAACAAGTGCAGTGTCCCCTCCTTTTAAGCTCTGTGTTTGGTCTCCACCAGCTACCGAGGGAAATATCTGGCTGTTTAGCTGCTAAATGATCCACTCTGCTCTCTGCTTGGTGCTGATGTAATGGCATTAATGTGCTGCCTTGATTCACTGTGACACTGGTCAGGTATATGGGAGTATAATCCTGATTTATGTTCATTAAATTGTCGTGCTGTACTGTGGAGGTGGCTCCTGCACCTTTGCAAGTGACCTGTAACCCGACACTGTGCCCCTGCCTCCACTTTATGGCTTCTCTTGATTAGTGGACTGAGTGGGGAAGCTCTCTCAGTGGAGTGTCACCTCACACTTCTCTATCAGCCGGAGAGGGTATTGTCTTTCCATCGGGCCGCAGTGGTGTGAGAGGAGAGCAGGAAACATGACCAGCAGCTATTGTTAGGTGGATGTCACCCTGTCACTCACAGCCCAATGAGTGAGGGGAGTGAGGGGTGAGATAACAGGTCTGTCTGTGTGTGCAGGGGGAGATGGTGATTAGTGATGGGGGTGGAGTTACTGACCTCCTGAATCAGAGGCTCTGAACTGCCACCGCCACTTGAATTTCCCAGCTTCCTCTGTGCCGGCCCGCTGCCTCGGCCTGACTGAAGACATTTAAAGGAGACACTTGATTATCTCTGTCTGATACTGGAGGCAGCAGCAGAATCAACAGATACAGGTGCTGTGATGTTAAATGAATGAAGTGCAGGAGTATTCAATTAAAATTTAACCACAAAATTTCCTCAAGCAGGGGTTGGTTGCACAGGGTGATAATACCTCTTCTATATAATAATAAATATATAATCCTTTAGCATTTCAAATACAATAACAGCTCTAACAAGTAACAAATACATGACAGAGGGAAAAATTCAAAATGCTTCATTTTACAAAATGCAATAAAAAGTGTAGCTTGACTTTCCATTTTTCTTCTCTATGATCAAAGCGATAGCTCGGGTTATTTGTCATGGGGTTGTGTGAGATAGTCATGCATGGTCAGTGTGTTACCTGCAGTAAATTCAAATCAGCTGCCAGTTACGAGAGGCGGCCGGGAGCAAGGCACAGAAGCAGAGCGGTGACTTACTGTGCATGGGGCCAGCAGAAAAAAATGTTTTACACACTTTTACACTTTTAAAAGACGCGCACCGAAACAATCCAATATCTGTTTAAATGTACGCTTTTAGAATATTTTCAGTGCTTTATCTACCTGTCAAAACAAAGTTTTGATTCACTCAGCTGACCTGTGGAATAATACAGTGCGCTCTCTAGTTCCGCTTGTGGGTAGGAATACGCTAGTTCAGCAGTTGAGAAATTCCTAGTACGAAAGTAAAAGAGCTGTTTTGACGGGAAGATAAAGCGCTGAAAAAATTCTACATGAAGCGTACATTACATGAATAATGAATTGTTTCTGTGGGCGTCTTTTAAAAGTGTCTAAAACATTTTTTTCTGTTGGCCCCATGCAAAGCAACACACTTTGCTCTGCTAGTGTGCTGTGTTCCCTGCTGCCTCTCCTAACTGGCAGCGCTAAACTATCATTTTGGAGGATCTATCCATGTATCCAGCTGGATCATTATGAAATGATGATACAAGGTTAATAAATAATATTCCTAATCTACTATCAGTGACATGTGGCCACTACCAGTCTGCATTATGTGGGCGTAGATGTGGATATGGACAGTAGGGACATGTCTCTACCATCTCAGAGGATCTTCCCATTTTAACTCCTCTGTGTTTCAGCTAAGATCTATGAGCTGTCAGGTTTGAGTTGGTCATCATGATACAGGGTGACAGACATAGAGGAGTCTCATCACTGCATCACTGTGTTGAGCAGTTGCAGCAGCAGCAGTGGAGACTCTGAAACAGTATTTATAGTCTAAAGGTTTCACATGTCACAGAAGTGAAAACGTCTTCACATCAGCTGATGTTATATTTAAATTTGTTCACGTGTTAATGAAGACATCAGGACCTTTTAAAGAAGAACTGAAGTGTCAGTAACAGCTGAGCTCAGCTGATCAGAAAGTTTTGTGATCAATCCAAATATTGATCTGCTTTGAAATCAACTGGAGAAATATTTACTATTGAAAGCTATGATGTCACACACACACAGACAGGTGAGCTGCAGGCTCTCAGGTGAGCTCTGATGTTAAAAAAAAAAAAAAAAAAAAAGAGATAGGGAACAAGTTCCCACTTTATTTTTTCAATTTGACAAAAAACATCCAAGATAAAACCAAACCTACACATGTGTTATATACACACCCCAAAAGTACACATGTAGTAAAATATAAAAATGAATGCAAACTACCTGTGGTGTTTCCTCTGCAAAGCAGATGCAAAGAAGCCATATGACGTCAACTTTTACAGACTCAGCTCTTGTTCTGCCAGACGCTTCTGTTGAGCTGCATTGAGGCTTTATGAAAAGTCCTCAGTGAGCAGGATTAACACGGAGGTTAATTAACTTATGTTACACCTGATCTTTGTGGCCCATTGACCTGAGCAGATCCAGATTATCCTCAATCTGGAGCCCCACAGAAACACTGAGACCAAGCTTCAGCTGCACACACACACACACACATACACGCATTTGCTTCACTATCTGACATGTGAGTGTGTGTCAGAGCACTGATACAGAGAGGCCCCTCAGGCTTCAATAGGAATGTAATGGAATGGTATGCATTATGTGCACACACACACACCTGCACAAACACATTAATCTATGACAGGAGGTACAACAGATGGAACTGGTGTGTGTGTCTCTTTCTGTCAGCCAGTCGCCTTTTTTGCATGTACGTCCACCCCCCACCAACCCCACCTCGAAAATACATGCAGTTCACATTTCAATCCTTCCTGGGTTTCAAGTGAACTCTCCTGAATTACCTCGAAACTCTCTTGTCCATGTGTGACCGAGGCAGATCTACATCAACCAGCAATTCTCTCTAAATACTCTCCACCATGCTCTGACAGTCAGAGAGGAAGGGGGGAGGCTGGGGGGGATTCACTGTGCTGGGGCAGCGAAGGTGCGTAATCCAAGAAACAAGATTGAGGGTTTATGTCACCCAGTGTGAGCACCACAGAGAGCCCAAGTGAAACCACAATGTTTGAGGTTTGATCCAGACTTAGAAAACGTCATTCAGTGTCTTAGGGGGGGCCAGGCCCGGATCTGAGTCCACTTGACCCCAAAGTCCAGTTTGTTTGATTAATGTGAACACTGTAATGTGTCCGGGAACGGATCAACCAACCATTCTCAGGTCCACTTGAAAAGGTGCTCTCAAGTACAGTTCATATGTACTTGGGTACAGTTCACATCAGAGGTGTGGACTGCTGTTTACAGTGTGACATCATAACTCCTCGACCCTGAAAGCATCTCTCTGGTCTGAAGAAGCTATTAAATGATGGCTTGAAAACACAGTTGGACTCCTCTATGTGGGACTTGGTAATGAAAGCAAAAAACACTGACAGAAAGCCTGAGGATTACACTTTTAAATGTAAATGTAAATTTAAATGTAAATGTATGAACAACTGTTAAAACCAAGGACCTTAAAACCTCAAGTCTACAAAGTCACAGGTATAGTAATGTAGTCATCAGCTGTGTCCCAATTCAGGGGCCGCATCCTTTAGAGGACGCGGTCTATGAAGGTGTGGCCATTAAGGCCGAACTGAAATGAGATGGTCTAGTCTATGGAGGATTTTTGCTTTGCGTCACCAGCTGCGCCGCTTTTACTGTTGCGTCAAAAAGTGCAGCTCCTGTCGCCTAGCAAGCTTGACAACATGTAACTTTTTTTAACAAAAACTTGGTTTTAACAGATACACCATTATACACCTTTGAAATGGGACAGTCTAGTTGCGCTGCTGTGACACAATTGGTCTTCAAATGCAGCCTCTGAAGGATGAGACCCTGAGCTGAGACACAGCTAGTGATGCAACTGAACTCTTCTTCTTTGGCCGATCAATCACAAACCAACCAGGTGCATACTGCGTACTGTGTTGGACTGTGTAGATACATGAGTGTTCTCAGGTACGGAACAAAATCGCTAATGTGTTGTTGTTGGACCTTCTTACATTTCTGTAACACTGATTATTGAAAATCCAACCCTACTTCACAACCTTACTCAACAATATGTCGTGCATTTCCCTGCATTTGCCTAGACAGGGATCAGCCCAAGACTGTCGGGTTAAACGTCACCAGCTTCACAGATTCATCACGTTGATCACGAGTTGCAATAATGACCAGTGGAAGACGTAATTCTGGGCTTGGGTGATAAATTAATATCTCGATACAGCTTGGCCCAAATATCAGGAAATACGATTTTATTGTGATTTTTTTTTATGCAATAATATATAATTATACAATTGAAGTTTATGTTTCCGGTCTAATTGATGCTGACATTCAGACTCATCAGCTTGTGTGATCAATATTATGAAAAATATTGCGATATTATTGAATATTGGCCTAAGCTCATTTCCATCAGTCAATGTAACTAATCCCCAATCTTATGGATATATTGCTATGTTGTGCAGACAACCATGTTGAGTCGTCTGATGATGTGAACACTTGTACATCACAATCATGTGTCTTTCTTTTATAAACACATACACAGGTTGTACGCGCTACCATTGTGGACTGACCGACCGGACAGCAGTGAACGCCTCCAGGAGTCATTATACAAGAAACAATTCAGCACCAACGACAGATCCTCTCATCGACCACACAGACCTTGACACACAAACACAGACTTTTATGGCAGCAGTCTAATCTGCTAACTTGGCGTTTGTCTATCAATGATTGCTCAATCTTGTTAGCGCAGAGCAGCTACCCAGGTGGCACATACAAATCTGCAGCCATTGACTGTACAAGCGTTTCATTACATACACTGGGTCAGAAAAATGCTGAATGGTCATTATAGTGAATGCAAATGAGGCTGAAGGTCATGTATATTGAAGAATCAGTGGATTTTTCTGCCCTAGGTATGTTATCTGTGGCCCCTGAGACAGGCTCTGATCTGTGTGCAGCGTGTACAGGCTTCAGTCACAGGAAAACACCACACTGATAACACCACATGAAAAGGGACATTTCTACTGAATAACCAGTTTTCTTGATGCATGTTTCACAGCAGTACCAACCTGAGAAATTTAACCTGCTCCCTTCAAAGGTTATCCATGTTAACAAGTCATTTAGACTCAGTTTTTCTTCAGTCCACAGGACTGTTAGCTGCAGACGTTGGCTGCTGGAAGGAACGTTTTCAGGTTTCAGGATCTGATGATTTCATGTCACGATTGATTTCAAACACATCCAGGATCTACTTCTCAAGCGAATTGCTGTACCAGCTCCACTCTGTCTACCCTGATATCGTGGATCCAGCAGGATGATTGCCTACTAGATGGCTTTGCTGACCGGCCCAATTATATCATGTGTCTCTATCACAGGGTCTCTTTCATGAGTGACATATTTGAAAATCAATTCAAGGTGAGCTAGCAGCTCAAGGCAGATGAGAAGGTGGTGCCAGGAAAGGACTTCACTTTAGTAGCATGGCAACAGCTCGGCTACACACAGTCAGATATTTCCAAGCATTAACTTCTGAGGCTGAAAAATTAAGCCAACAGGGAAGAACCA